TGCCATGTTTCTCTTTAAAATCTGGAAGATGTCTCATGAAATCCAAGGTGTGGTTTTCTTGGTATCTCACTCTTTGTGTCTCAGAGTTATTCCAATTCATTTTACAAGGACAGGATAAATCTATAGACACTATTCAGCACTGAAATATATTGGCATACATAGAATAGGTTAAGCAAAGAAATAATACCTGGCAGCATTATTAATATGACATTCTAATTGCTACAGGCACACACATTTTCAAGTACTAAGTGCTATGAACTGATAAAAAAAAAAAGTTCAGACTGAAAAAGCCTGAATGATTGAAGCCATTTAGAAGCCTTTATTGTACCATGCTGTCAAAATGTCCAGGTGACCTTTTCTACATGGTAAATTTAACCAAGAAAGATTTTATACACGCTGTTTTAATAGCAATGTTTCACCCCTCCCCTCCCCGTCTACCCCCCCCACCTCATAGTTTTGGGATTAGATAATGGTCACATCAAGAGAAATGCCACATCTTTGTACATGCTCTGAAGATGATTGGGTCATTACATGCCCAGTCTCTGCAACTTGCCTATGTTTTTAGGCAGAGAGATATTTCTGAAAGCATATGTACAAATGCATGAAAGCTATGCTGTTCTTCCATAACAATCCTTTGCTAGGTGGCAGCACTCCAGTAGTCCATTCTCAGTGGCAGAAGACAACACATATATCTGAGCTCAACAGAGCCACTCCTCAGGATAAACAATGCAAAGATGGTATTTCCATACTGCTCACACTTGGAAGATTTCACCACGTTTGTACCAACATTTCAACAGTCCACAGCAAATATTATACCTCAAACCACATTCACCCAAAGGCCATAGCGGAGCTGCATCTACATGAAGCAATGCAAGCTTCCAGACAACTGATATTTAAGATCACTGAGATGCACGGGACCGTACCTTGGACATGCAGATACAGAATGGAGGAAAGGCAGTAGGGATACTCCTTGTAGGGCAAGATTCTGGACAGCTTTTACCCAGGGAAGTGCAAAGAGCACATGGACACAAGTTCTCTTTCAAGACTAAATAGATAAAACCTGTGTCAGCATCCTCAGCCACCAGCCCAGCGCATGCCAAAGCCTCTCTGAGCAGATTAATTCTGGCTTCTGCACTGCAAATCGTTGTGGGAAATTCTCTGTGACTGCAGTACATTCAGATATTAATAAAATCTTTCTCTGCTTTTGCAATGTATTTATACATAAGTGTGATTTAGAGCTCTGTGTCAAGTCCTCTCTAGCACTGCATTCCAATGACCTGCAAAAAAACCAGGGTGTTTCTGCACATCAGGGTAATGCTGATTTAGGGGTTGGTACAATAGCACACATGGGCTATTTTATTTAGTTTCTTGGCATTCATATTCAGAAATTGCTCTATAAAGAATGGAGGAGGCATTAAAGAAAGTTTAAATGATCTTAAATCACAGTGAAACATTGCATTTGGAACCAACTGAAACATTTGGATAGACTCAAAATTGCTTTTTTTTTTTTTTTTTCCCCCAGGGACAAATGTTTTGTTGATGTATTAAATTTAAAATGAAAATCTCTGACTGTGACTGGTTTTAGTTTTTTGCTACTTTGCTTATGTCATCAAAATATAATAGATCTTACTTTTCCTGCTGTTGGAAATCTCAGTCTTGTCTTGGATTTGATCCTATGCTCTGAAATCTCGGAGGACAGCACCCAGCATTTCCAGTATGGGTCAAATAAGTGGGGCTGTGTTTGTCTTTCCCTTCTCTGTCATCTTCCTCTTGACTTCTAGTTTTAGGGAGTGCATATTCTTATTTTCAAATGTTTTCTACAACTGCGAGTAACAAAACTATTTTTGCAAGCTTTTTTCTCCCTCCTTCAGTCAACCAAACTCTTTTTATTTCAGCACCAGATGTCTTAATAACATTTTATAAAGATATAAGATGAAATCATTTAAGCTGGCTACCTGGCTTTTTCAACATCGTTCTGTAGATTGAGTCTAGTTTCATTTGGACACTTATTTTAGTGAAACAAAAAACAATGATAGGGAAGAAGAGAACATGGGCCTCCACAATTTAACAAACTTCATTCATTAAGAGAGAGTAGGGGGGTCACATTATTATTTAATGGCGTTCTTTTTAAGACTGCTTAGAAGCTGTGTTTTAAGGCATTCTCCTCTTGTTTGAGTTTCTCAACGCTAGGTAAATCTACTTTAGGAAGCACAGCAGCAGAACAAAATAGTGAATTAGATCAATTTAAGTTCTGTTTGCTGAAGTAAACATCTCCTAAGGGAAAGAATGAAAAGATTATTTGCTAGAGCTGCGTGTCTTGCTTGGTTTTAGTAGTTATGATGCCAAACACCTGACTCCCCCAGGCAGAGAGGGGAGCACTTGGCCACAACAGTGGAGCAGAGTCCTATGATAGGCACTGTCCATATGGTGGCTCATGGAAGAGCTAGGAAACAGAAGCTGTAACAATCACTGATTATTGCCTTGATTTTTCAAGGGTCCTTCCTGGGTAAATACATGTGCATATTCCTCAACTGGAAGTTGCTAGGTGGAATAGTTACTTGGTAATCCACTTACGTTCCAGCTCTAAGAAAGCCCAGCAAAAGAACAGCTTTATTCAAGTCAGCAATCTTCCAGTTCCTAGGGTTTTCCCTTGATTTAAAAAGGGGATTCTCCCACAGAAATAACAGAATAAGACAAACGTAGAAATTAGGAGGTCAAACACAGGGAAAGAGCCTGATTTGAAAATTACCTTTTAGAGAGAGAAAAACACCTTGCAAGGAAAATCAGTAATGCATGCAGAAATGAAAACAAATCTTAAGGAAATGTTTCCTTGTTTAGCTTCACTGCAAAGAAAAACAATCTTTGTTAGGGTATTAACAAGATTTCTAAATACCATATCCACTTCATTCTACACTCTTCTACTGAAAGCTGTGTTAAACCTCTTCCCAGTAACTCCTGCAATTAGTATCTTTGTAGAAATCTCAGAGGACAGGCTTCTAAAAGCAGCATTATATTTTTAGAACCTCCCTGTAATTAATCATCTATCAGTCCTCCTATATAGTTCTACACAACTGCTCTGCAGAAAGTATTTCCTTCCTTGAATGAAAAAAAATCTTTTTGTTTAAGCTTAGTGAAAGAATCACATTCATGTTATAAAATATAAGAGTTTAAGTTACATTTACTGAAAAAAAATAGCCCTTGCTTATTGGATGATAGAAAATCTGCATGCAGGCAAGCTGCAATGGTAGCAACAAGCTGCTGCTAGAAACCTGCTGGGATGGAATGATGCAAAAAGCTCTGTCAGAGCTCCACTGCAGTGGTCATCTTTTTGAAACACTACGTTAAATTCAGTATGAGGATAATTGAATATCACCAGATGCAAATAAAATTTGTTTATCCACAAAGAAGAAAAGCCCACGCTTCTACACTCAATTCTGTAGCCACAAGAACATGAAATACACTCTCCTGGCTTTGATAGCATCAACAGGAAAAGCAAATATTTAACAGAAAGTGCAATTCCTAGTGAAATACCTTGTCCTAGGGATTTAACAGCCTTTTCATCCGCTGGAGTACTTAAATCAAAACTGAACATCGTTTCATAATGCATGCTCTTGCTGCGTGTTTATTATTTATGGTTTTACTTTGTCAGAGCACGTGGAGTTCTCTCAGCACATCAGTAATGCCAGGCACCAAAATGTTGGTAACTTCCCATACAACTTCATGTTTTAAGGGCAATATCTATGAAGAAAGGTTGAAGGAGTTGGGCTTCTTTAGCTTAGAGAAAAGGCTCCAGGGAGACCTCACTGAGACCTTTCCGTACTTGAGGGAAGCTTATAAACAGGAGCAGAGCAACTCATTACACGGTCTGATAGCAATCGGCTTTGAGGGAATGGCTTTAAACTAAAAGAGGGGAAGTCTAGGTTAGATGGTAGGAAGAAATGTTTCACTCAGATCTGCGGGCATCCCATCTCTGGAGGAGCCCAAGACCACGGATGAAACCCAAGGCAGCCTGAGCTGAGGGGGGCAGCCACAGCAACAGATTGGAACTTGGTGATGCTTAAGATCCCTTCTAACTTAAGCTATTCCATGATTAAGACTCTTGCTTCCATCTTAGCCTCCATACCAAATCTTTTATCAAGCTTTTTAGAAGATTATCATGCACAGGTTAAAGCATATTCTTCTGCTCATTCATGTGCATACACCCTGCCATCTCCCTTTGAGCCCTTCTTTTTTTTCAGAAGTATTGGGGTAGGGAAGGAATTGGATTAGTTTGTTGTTGCAAATGGTTACAAAGATGAGACAACACATTTGTCAGTAACGAAAACAGACTTCAGAATGTAGTGGGAAGGATGAGAAGTCCCCTAGTAGTGATGTGAGATAACATCACTTCTACAGGATGTTGTTAAAGCTGACAGCAATGTGACTTGATGTTTTGAGCTCTATCTATTCACTTGAAAGTCATGCTCACTCTGGTGTTTAATTTGACATTCTAGTAACTCAATAGATTGAAGGGCTTAATTAGATGCTTTTATTTATATTTCAAGATGATGAAAATCAGTGTTCTTCTCATTTACCTTCACACCCATACCAGAGATGAATCTACACTTTCAACCTACGGCAAAGAACAATACCAGCTGAAGAATAACTAAACATGATAGAAGACAGATATGTTTTAATCTCCCCTTAAAAAAAGTTGTTGATCAGAACAGCCTTTGCATCAAACAACCTTTTAAAGTGTATATCTCAAATCATAAAAGGTTCTGCCTTGTCCAAACCTGATTCAAGGCTTGCTGGTACCATTGAAACTCTCTTAAATTCAAAGGTTTGGGGTTGATCCACATACCTCCTTTTAACACGGCGTATCTTTTCAGAAGAAAACAATAAAGCACTGTTCTGCTCATAAAGAAGCAAAATTGCTTTTAACAGGGTCTTAGAAACACCAGCCAAAGCATACACAGGTAAGCCAACAGCCACATACAGAAAAAAAGAACTGCACTGACCCAGTTGGTGAAAGGGATCCCTATGTAGGCAGCACATCTCCTCAGGAAGCAGCCTAAGTCCAAGAGATGCTCTCCTTCCAACAGTGGCCCTTATCTGAGCCCAGGGGGCCTCTACCCTTCTGGTTAAGTGGGGGTACAGGTGCAAACAATTTGCCTGTGTTGTCTGGGCCAGGCACACCCCTTCACCAGGTGTTCAATTACCAGTCGAAGCCCTGAACTAACAGTTCCCCTACAAATATACTTCACAAAATGCATTCTATAGTGGTTCCTGTAATACCCAAAGTAAACAACTAACTGTTATTTATTTGAAATGTTTTTGGTGGTTTTTATTTAGAGGTTACATTGAAGAACGTGAGATAATTAATATCCACATCACAAGCAATTTCAAGTCTCTTCTCAGTTTCCTCCTGGTGCAAATCTTCCACATCTACCATCCCATTAAGTTGGAGTTTCAGTAAGAATTAGTAAAAAAAAAAATTGAGATCACTCTTTTCACAATTTCAAGTTATATTTGGTACCTATGTATCTACGAATTTCAAAGCTTATATTTTTAAATTAATGCATTATTAATATTTACATTTCCTTATATGTGTACAATCTCTGTCTCCCCCCCATCCCCACTATTTTTCTTTACAGGAAATTTTGGTTGTGATAAAGTATTAAGATAGAATCTACAGGTAGTTCGATTTTTAGAGTCCATTGCTTCATTCACGAAGGAAAAGAGTATATAAGAACAAAACTCAAGAGTAGGATCCCAGATGTCAACATATGCAGTTCTCTTGGAGACAATTTTATTCCTCCGGAGCTTAAACCTATAAAGATATAAGCATAAAAATAAGGAAATTTCTATCCAAAAACATTTTCCTATGCAGTCTAGCCTAACAATCTTCTTTTTAAAAATATCTGCAAAATAAAATATCCAAAAGATGGCTTCTTCTTACTCACTTTCAAGTTGTAGCTGCAATTCTAGGGAGTTTTGAATGGCCTTCCCATGCCTGCACATAGATATCTGCTTGCAGGAGGGTTTGGGTTGGTAAATTCTAACTCAGGGTTCCATTCTGCATGAATAATAAGAGCAGAGCCTGGGCACCTGAGCTAGCTGTGGAGTGCAGCTGAGGAGATCTACCTCGGTGTATGCAGCAGCTCCAGATCAGATTAAATCCTGCAATGTATACAAAAGCTGCAGAGTTGAATTCAGTAAGAAAGCTTACGTCTCTGAAAAGCATTACAGGTAAGGTCACATCTAGGTGTTGTGAAGCAGTTTCTCTACTACTGAACATGGGAAAACTGGAGACTAATCTACGTTTGCCCAGTACTACAAAGGGAGGTCAACAGTGGTAGCAAAAACTCTGTTAATCCTTTTTAGAGGCACACAGATTTCTTACTACACACTGATATTCAGAGAAAGGAAATACAATCTCATGTACTTGATATTTTTGGGATCCTAATTTCTTCGCTGCTGCTGCCATCCCCACCATCACTGATGGTTCTTATTTCTATGAGATAACCTTCTTCAAATGGCACCAGGAGTTCAGCTGAAGTGTTGTTTGTCTCCAGTATATGAGCTTTGCTGTGTCTGTTTTGTCTGTACAAAATCTAAACAAAAAAGGATTAGGGAACAGAGGTTACTCGATTACTTCAAGTTTTATGTTGTTCTTTACACAGCTGAGAAATGAAAGGACAGAAGTTTAGACAGTAGCATCTGGGTTTCCACTTAGAAAGCGCGTTTGTGCAATTAAATATGATGGACCCAGTGCCTGCCTGCACTAATTTATCTCTGGGACAAGGTGTGGAGCAGCCCTGAGACCACATGCCCTGGGGAGATGGAGATCCTACAAACTGGACCTTCTAGAAAGCCTTTCTTCTTCATTAGCACTCTTGACAAACTTTTTACACAGTTATGATGAAAAGAGCAATTGAAGAGCAAAGCAGAAGGAGAAATTGAGTTAATGGAGATTGTATGGAAAATACTGTGTTGAGAACTTAAAGCACTTCTCTCCACAACGAAATATAACAGGCAGTTATAACCGAGAAGCAGATATGTTAGGCACAAGGGAAAAGAGCTTAAAAGTCTGATTTTAATGTCTTCCCCAGTATGTGGGGCTATTCAAGCACACTGACTAGGCTGTAAGAGGATGTGGTATCAAGAATAATTACAAGGTAGAATATTTTTTCTGTCCTTTTCCTCCCTCCCTCCTTCACAGACACTTAAATGCTGAGCAACACAAGGATCTTGATCCTGACAACCTTTCTCCATTTAAGTGCTCTCCACAGCCATTCTGATCACTTTTCGGGTCTTTCAGAAAGTCTTTGGGGGTTAGAGACACTGCAAACAAACTTTAAACTAAACGTTCCTGTCCTTAAAAAGCAGATTTATAGAACTGTTTTTTACTTCACCCACATTGATCTTTATGTGAGTGCCTTCCATTCTATTTTCAAAGTTATGATTATGAATCGTCAGAGTAAGGACTTTTAAACATATTTTATAACATCTCTTTAATTTTTAAGAGGCTGTTCTCTATTTCTTACAGGCGTGTGAAACTCCTTCAATGCAAGAACATTATACAAGTAACATTACAAGGGAAAAAGAAGAAGAGGAGCCCAGTAATGGGAATAGAAAACTTTCGTGTTGGAATAAAGACGTCCAAATCCAAATGAGATATTCTTCCATGCATTATATAAATGTCAGCCAACCATCCCAGTGACTCCATAAAATTCACCTTTTCATGAGTAATGAAGTCACATTCCAACAACTCACTTTTTTCACCTCTACTAAAAACAACACGTATGATTAACAAGATAAAGCAATGACTTACTTTGTATCCTAGCACCTCTGATTCATTCTCCATTGTTTTCACGTGTTCCCAATTCAAGCAGATTTTGGAATTTGTCAGTTTCCATGCGATATTTGCTGGAGGTTGACTGGGAGCTTTAAAAAAAAGAAAAAGAAAGAAAAGAAAAGATGATGATAATCACAAGATACAACTTTATATTACATAAACGCGAGATACAACTTCATATTAATTTGCATAGTGTAATTGAATGAGACTCTGACATGGAAGTAGCAAATGCATGGGTGATTCAAGTCTGAAAGAGTGAAAAATATTTTCCAATTCATCATTGCTCTCTTATTAGTCAGAATACAGATCTATTCATAGCACAGAACCACTTACTGTGTGTTCATTTTGGAAATTAGGCAAAGCCTGACAGTGCCTGACAGTTCAAGTTACATTTGATAGATTTTATTTAAGTATTATGTTGTTCCTATCTATCTTTAAATGGACTACAGAATGTTTTGCTGTATGGATTTCAGAAAAAAAGTTGAAACTAGGAGCAGAATACAAAAGGCTCGATTTTCATCGGCCATGAGAATAGGCTACAAAGAGTTACACATTAAAGTCTCCATGTGATCCATCATGAAACGTTGCAGATTTTATAAATTCTCAGTATAATAGGCCGAGGGTAGATTTTCAAAGGTTTTTCATGCCTAAATGCCAGGACTTTGAAAATTTGCCTACGAGTGACAGAAATCGAATCCTGTGTGAACGTGTGAAGTTGAAACTGTGCCTTTGAACTGGCTGTCTCAGATTTACATCATCTCCATCTCCATGGTGTGCTCCCCAAATCCGGCCTGGGAGGAGAGTGCCAGGGGTGTCAGAGGAAGTAAGGATTTGAAAATAATTGAGAACAGAGAGGAGAGATCTGGAGAATGGGCTTCTGGTTTGTAAGGGTCCCAGACCTGACTTTAAAATGTTAAACTTCTGGGATTCTTCACTCCCTACAATTCCTACATACTGATGGTTAGCATGCATAACTCAGAAGGTACTGCAGACTTGGTAATACTCCATCATCTGTTTATTTCCCACACAGAGAAAATGAATCAATGCCATCTGTTGTTATGTATTTATCTACTTCTGGACTGTGGGAAAGTTTAATCCACCTCACTGTCTGGAAAAGGAGGTGTTACTGGGTCACTCAGGTGAATCTAAGCAAATGTCCTTCCATGAACAGTAAGTCCATACTGGATAAAGATTCCTTTTATTTTGAGCGCATTCACATGCATAAAACCACAAATCTACTTAAATTTTGTTTGAAACTTCTTTGCTGCTTTCATAAAATGTTTTAGGTAAGGAATTTGGACATAAAACATGCATAAGATATAAAGGATGTCAAATTTTTAATTGATTGGGTACTTCGAAAACGGACACCCTCAAATATGGGTGAATATCATCTTACTCAAAATCTTTTAACATAACACTTAAAACCATCTAAATTCCCAAGCTTTAGGTTGGAAAAAACACCATTGGGTGACTTCCTAAGCTGAATTATCCTGTTTACATCTACAGTCAAGGACCAGAATAGGCAGTAATGGATAGCCCTTTCCCAACCCACAGTGATACGCATAAACAAGAACATTGTGAACAGCTCCTTAGATTTAAGATGACCAGTCCTTTCCACAACTAACTTCTTACCAACTTTATCAAGAACATTCGATAATCTTAAGTAAATCAAGCTAATGAAGTTACTTATGTTTTAGGAAACCCTTGCAGGCTTTTTGAGTTGAAGTTTAGACTTGCAAAGTTTTTCTAATATGTATCTCTGTTGAAATATGCATTAGTAATTAAAAAGCAGTGAAATATATATAACCATGTTATATATATATGTTATAACCATGATGACATGTAAATAAAATAAGCAGAAGAGGTGAGCCTTCTAACTCTTCCTTGGGGAGCATATTCATCATTTCTACTTTCCTAAGCAGTAAACTTACACCATGAGATCAACTTAGACATTGAACTGATATTAGATGTTCCAATCAGAAGTGCACCTATTTGGCTAAAGGCCCATTGTACTTTTAAGTTTTGCTTAGTCTATTCAATAATGCCACCTATAGAACACTAGGAATCTTTGGCAATGAGTGTGAAGACAGAGCTATTTGCTTGAAGCCAAAGCTCCTGATGTAGATGTGTATCGTTACATGCTCTTGATGCACTGTCTCTTCTCATATTGAAAATGCCTGAAATCAAAATTTTAATACATGTTTTTAAGTATTAAATAGGTTGTTTTGACTTTAATTTTTAAATGAACTATTAGCACCATCCTGAGTTTGAGAGAAGATGAAATCAATGTAAATCAAAATCAAATTTGTCCTGTTTTTGTTTTGCTTCTTGACTGATGTGTCTTTATCTTTTCTTTCATACAAGTATACATACAAATACAGAGAATCATTTCCAGAGATGAGTCCATTTCACATTGTCTGTCAGAAAAGCCTTCCTTGGAATTTTACAAAATATTTTCTTTGGCTTTATTTTGGCTTATGCTATCTACATTAAATTTTATCATGAACTCATTTAAGTAGTTAGCTCCTGTCCAGCACTTTAAAGTAATAACCTAGAGTAATACATGGATAAGAGGACAAATGAGGAGAGACAGAAGATTCCTTTTTTGTGCAAAAAAGTGCTGATAAATTGGGAAAACATAGTCCACTGAAAGTATAAAAAAAGTAGGGCATGTAGATTAGCAAGATTTCCTGTTTTATGACTATTTTGCTGTTAGTGAGCATTTCCTTTACAAGTTCTATCCTGCAGAACAGCACTCCTGTATTATCTCAGAGGATGGCCTCATGAAAGCCTACATTTCACGTAGCTTTTATTCTCACAAGTAGAAAAGCATATGTTTTTGCTTCTAAAATTACAGGGAATTTAAGCAGCTACTGATTAAATAGTATTTAAGTGAATGTGTCACATACGTTCCCCTCTGCATGGCACAATTTAGAGGACCCCAGAAATATCTGGAGAATTTAATAGTTTCCTTAAAAGAAAAAAATAAAAAAATAAAAAAATAGAAGCCACAATCCCATACCCAAATCTACAGTTTGACCTGTGGAACATCTTTCCTTAATGGACTTTGAATCTCTTCTGAAATTTCCTGAAAGCAAGTGACACACTGTTGCATTTGAAAAGAAGATCCTTCCTAATTGTTGCTACTGCTGTAGGAACAAAAATGCCCGTGTTATCTAGTTTTGCAAGTGTAGAGAATTACCTGAGCACATAAGCAGGATAGGGTAAAAGAAATAACCTCAGGGCTGATTTCAGTCTCTGAGAACTGTAGCTTCCACTGAGACAGCGCTGAACACCAATCTAAACACTACATTAGCATCTTGCATACCAGAATCTGAACAAACTAACTCAACGTTCACCACAAAATTAGGAACCAAGAGACAGAAAAGTTTCTCAGTCACAGACTTCACTGCTTAATTTTATGTAGAAATTTGGGATCCCATTTTCCCTGATACTGCAACATTTAGCAAGCTGGGTCATGGTAAGCTGAAAATGTCACTATTCCACCTGGGAGCCTGCAACATTTGTTGTAAGAAATTGAATACTCACGTGACTTTTTAGTGGTGACATTTACCGGGGCGCTGGAGGGCCCCATCCCTGCTGTGTTGTAAGCCCGAACTGTTGCAAAATACACTGTGTTAGCTTTTAGGCCTGTGATATTTTGGGCTGTTATGTTCCCATTGACTCTGACTTTACCAGCTGTGCTTTCCTTGGGATCATCTGTCCAATATAAAACCTGAAAAGCCAAAACAAAGACAAGGCATTTCATTGTTTTAAATCAAGTACTGGTTTGGCTGGCAAGTAGACAAGCTGCCAGTGAAGATTTCAAGGAGTACTGGATTTTTCATATACAAAACTAGCAGGAAATAAAACCAAGCATGAATATTTATAGAGAAGAAATAAAATTTTAGAAACAGAATACAAATTAAGAAAGCAAATGAAATCCTTATAGAAGTCCAAAAGGAAAACCTTGATAACATAAGATATTTTAAAAGCTTTTTGGTTTTAAAGTTTGAACAGATTAAAGAAAAAATTTTTTAAAAGATACAAAGAAACACTTATCTACATCATCTAAGAGGATTTTAATTATTTTGTATCCTGTCTAATTTTCTGTCTGTAACAGCCATTAGACATTCTTTGTTTTTAATGAATATTTGATTTGGAAGGTTTGGGCATTGCTGCTCGTTGTAAACAGGAGCAAGAAGCTCAAAGCCCTTCAAACACACTGCAGCAGAAGCTTTGGTTAGTAATAACGTGCATTCTCTTCTGCAAGGAATGATGGAGGTCATGTGCATGTCTGCTAAATATCAGCTTCCCCCATCATGCTCAGGCAGTACTAAAGCTGTGTAAGAGGAGGGAGGATCAACCTTGTTTTGTGGAATCAAGAACCAGCACAAGTCCTTGTACAGTGGCCATCACAAATGATTAATCTTGAGGTTTTAATTTACATTACAAAAGGGCTGGGTGAGAACTGCAGTCCTGGTCTGTAAATGCTTGTGATTATCTCAGGTGAAATGCTGTTAATGAGAGTCAGGTGAAGAGCTGCATTATCTGCTGACTTGGCAGCAAGGGAAGAAGAACCAGAATACCAATGTAGCTGGGGAAGGGATATCTGCAAAGTGCCCAATCCCAGCCCCAACCCCCATCCCACTCCAACAACAACAACAACAACAACAGCAGCAGCAGCTGCTACCACCTCACCTCATAGCCCAGCACCCTGCCTGTGTGCCTGTTCCATGCAATGGGCTGCCAGGAGACCTCCACCTCTGCTGCCGAGATGCTCAGTGCTGAAGTGTCTCCTGGTGCTATCTGTGGCTCTGGATCACGAGAGAAAAGGCAGCAAGTGGAACATTTGTAGCATCAAAAGGGCGTTGCATCAGAAAATTAGAGAGATTCAAGAAAAAGTCAAGACTTCTTTGGTGGAAGCAGCACGGAGAGCATTGGGAAACCTGGGGTGAATTCAAGAATTTTGCTGCCCGTTTATTGTAGAACAGTAGCAAAACTGTAATTTTCCAAAATTAGTCATAACCTCTAAACTGGGACAGATTTTTGGAGATCGTATGTACTGAATGGTCTGGGCTCTCTATAGATAAAATGTTCTGAAAAGTCTCCTGCTTTTTCTCATCCTGCTCGGTGGGAGCTTTTGAGACAAGTGTATTGAAACATGCCATCTACTTAAAGTAACTCTGAAAATCTTTTCCTTGCCTTTGTTCCCTCCAAATTCCCATCCTCTGTCCCGTGTCTCCTGAGAATCTGCCATGAGCAGCTTTGAACAGATTTCTTACCTCCCCTATAGAGACCTGCATTATCACACCTGGGACCTACAGGCTGTAGACAACCACTACTAATAAGAGTGACACACTTTACCATCTTCTCCAGAGTAGACAGTGGATATGGAGCTCAGGGTCCCTTCTCCTTCATTGTTGTAGACGCCAACTTTCACTTCAAAAGGAGACAGAGGTGGAATGCTTTCATTCCTATAAACATATTTACTTGCTTCTAAGGGAGCCACGGCTGCTTTTGTCCACGTTGTTGAGCCAAGAGGACGAAACATAACAATATAGCCAAAACCTTCTCCATTTTGTAGTTCTTCTGGCACTGGCTGTAGTGACAGGGCAGTCAGTCAATAAGCATTTGCAAGTATACACTGTTTTAATTGAATCTTCATTTTCTCAGAATATTTTAGGAGTATTGATTCAGTTGACTGTGCCTTAGAGAAGATAATAATGTTTGCTCCATCAGTCAATGTAATATTGAAATAAAAATCAAAATAATAAATCTATTGAGGCAATCAATTTAGAAACAAAAGATCTGATCAGCTCCATTAAAGTTATTCTCTTTCAGGCATGAAGTTTTCAAAATTAAAAGCAATTCACTCAGCACAGTTTATAGCTGAAATTCTTCCCCCAAGGGGCATAGGAACACTAACTTTAAATGATTTTAAAAGGAGGAAAGAGATGGGAAAGGAGCAAACGTATGTAGAGGCACATGTCAGCTGTATAATTGCTTGTGCATGTGTAGAGCACATATATTTTCTTAGAACAAGGGAGAGTTTGGAGTGCACGGAGGTTTTCTTATTTAAGTTTGTTTAGAACAGAAATGTTATTGCAAGCTAACATGACAAAATTAATGTTTCTATTAATAAAATCTCATGTCAAGATATGTATTAATGACTCACACCTAACAGGCAATTCCATCAAGACTGTATCCAGAATGAACACTTCTATTTTCTTGAGAAAAAGAAGTACTTCTGTGCTGGCTTTTCAAAGCAAGAGAACATTTGTAAAACAAGAAAAGAACAGCAGTACATGGAGAAAGGAAGTTTTGCCAGCAAAATTCAATTTAATTTGGATGCTTTCATCAAAGCAAGGTGCCCAGAAAAACAGTCATGAAAAATGGTACAAAGGGCAGAACTGCTGCCCCTGAAGTGGGTTCTGGCTCCTCCACCAGGAGTGCTACTGGTGTGAGAAGATGGGAGGGAAAAATCGGGGAAACATCAGTCGATTTCAGAGCACTGAATTTATTTATTTCTTCATAAATTACTTTTAGTGTGATAGTAAGATCGTCAGATTATAAAACCCTGATCTGACATGCTTAACAAATGTTGTCATCTCTTAAGTGTTTTACAGGCATTAATTCATCGATCTTTCCCCTTCTACTTCGTATCCAGACCCAAGAGAGTTAAACGCGAGGGCTGAGGGTGCAGTGGGGATTGATAAGAGCTCAAGCTACTTTCTAGAGCATTTATTTTGTTTTTGAGGCTCCTGTGACCTCAGATTTAATCAGAATGTTTAGTGAGTTCATCAGAGAAAGCCAGAGTCATATTCAGTGTTGTTTGCTTATTAATTAATATTTTTTTCCGACTATTTTTCAGGGCACGCCACGGAGTCCAACAGGATAATTTGATCGAGATCTCTCAGGCTGTTTTTCAATTTTCACATTCTGCTCCCAAAGAACAGACTGGTGGAGGAGAAGATGAAACACAACAGAGAATGATGCACATGGAGGAAAACTCAGTTCAGTAAAAGCCAAGTTTCGCTGCTTGGAGAATGGAAAGGGGAAAGCATGGCACTGTTATTTATCTTGTGGAGATTTCGGATTTCATTTTTTTCCTCTGTCTCTTCCCTTCTTCTCACATTGGTTAAATGGGAAAGTTATCAGCATACAGGACAACACAGGTAGATCACTCAGCAGATGAAAAACATCATTTTTAGGATTAATTAATTTCATTTCCTTTCCTGTAAACTATGGACACAAGGTTGGCCTTTCTTTTGAAAAATAATGAAGTCAAGGAAAATAACCTTTTTTTTTTTCAATGAATACACATTTTCCATGACTTACGAAGGGAACATGGTAGTTTTGAAGCCATGGCCCCAGTTGAGAATTAATTGAAGACCATGTGCAGCTCAAGACACACAACTTAAAGTAATTCATTAAAGTAATGAAAAACACAGAGGTTGTATATTGGTTGTTGGCCAATTCATCAGGCTGGAGAAGGAGAGCAATGTCCTTCTTTCTGCACTCCACTCACTCACTGCAACTTGTAGGATGGGACCAACAGTTCTGAAATTGTATATTCTCTCCTCTTGCTAGAGTGCTGGAGAATTAAAGGGTTCATCTCCTTTAACACATAATAGGATATGCCTTGTCAGCACAGTGCTCCAGAATGAAAAACATGTAAACAAAAGTATGAAAAACGTTAATGCAGAAAATGGCCAAGCAGATTAGTGTGTTAAGCACCTCCTGTACAATGGAGATAAGAGGGTTATACAGACTTCTAAACATCTTTATAACATGCTTCTTAAGCTGTTTATTTTTATAAATGGTTCACTATAACACAGAAAACTTGCTGTGTATCTTACAGACTGTTTCCTCTCCATATGCAGGATGAATCTCAGGCTCAGTCCAAGCCAATAGCTGAAAGGCTCTGAATTTCAGCAGTGCTGTGATTGTGCCCATAGAATCCCCCATCAGACAGCTTAGGTTAATTGAGTTACCAATTACCTCCCATGTGATGACCAGCTCAGAGCGGCTCCCTCCTCCTCCGCTGACGTTCGTTGGTGCCACTGTGGGAACTGGAGGACAAAAAACACCAGGGCTGCAACAGCCACCACTGCTGGGGGTCTCCTCTACTCCAAGAATAAAGCTTTCCTCCCAGCTCCTCTCACATGCAGCTACTCAGCCATTCAACATGTGCAACAAGGGCTGCATTCTATTACAGTGCATTTTATGTGAACCGAAGTCATGTTTGCACATTTTCAGGTTTCTAAGGCTGAAGCCACAGATGTATTTGATACATGAGTACCCTGTTCAAAAAATTAATTAAAGAAGCTAGTAGCATCAAGTATTTGACATTATTATGCCTCATCAACTAATTGGCAAAATGCTGTTCCATTCAGACTGTAGCTGCAACACTACTGATTTACTAATTGTGCATTTGTTCAGTAAACATGTTGTTGGAGCAATATATTAATTTTTTTTAATTGGCTGCATGCTTTCCTTAGGAAATTCAAAACTCGTAACTTGCTGTTCTCCTTCTGCCAGGATTGTAAGAAACCCAATGTGCAGTGATTTGAGCCTGATTTCCCCAGTGGTGCTCCAAGTATGTGGCTGCATAGGTCCATGGGTGAGGTCAAACATGTTGCTGTTTATGCTGAGGAGACTTTCATTTGTCTAATGGCTCTTGGTGGAGAGGCCAAGAAAGTATTTCTTGCCTCTTACTCCATATCTCAATACACATACCTCATCAGCCTATAAACATTTCTGCTTTCTGGACACTGAACTGTGATGTGATGGATGGGATTTACACAGAGCAGCTTTGTTCCTATAGTATAATTTGCAATAAATTTACTTGTAAGGATGATGTCATGCTGTTTTTCTGCTACTGGAGATGTATTACAAAAAAGGACAGCTGCACAACTTATAGTGGCAAAAACCCCCATGAGAGGGCAGTTATATTGTTTGCCACCTCCAAACCTTTGCTATTATTTCCTGATGTTTCAAGATTGTTCTTACCTTCAGTCAGCTTCCACTGCCTAAAAATGGTGCCGAGATGAGGCCAAAACTTTTTCAGCAGCTCTGGCAAGTTTTGCCATGACTGCCCACCCTTCCCCATGTTTTCCTTCTGGTGTTAAGCACAGCTACGGGAGGAGCAATAAAGGCAACAGCTCTTCACATTCCCAGAAAGGGGGTGAACTGGCTGCCTCTTCTTGGCTGAAACCCCCATCTAAATCTTTACCTGACTTAATTCTCTCTAGAAAAGTAGAGATTTTAAGGTGATTTTGTTGTGTAGTCAGAAAAGGGAGTGAAGTGCAAATGGAACTTCGTTTGGGAGTTTAGTGCAGGTGTTCCGTTTTGTCATTCACAATCCATGTCTTTGTGCACATCAGAGATAAATAACTTAAGACTGAAAAGAACATTAAAGGAGAAAAAAATAACAAAATGGACATTCAAGACTACTGCTTTGCTTTTTCACGAGTCAGCTTAGACAAATTCAGTTCATGTGTTAAATGTGTTCAGCACTTACTACCTTTGCATGGGAAAAAAATGGATACTAGTGCTCAGCAGAGCCTCAGCCGGGCCACAGGTGAGAAACAGATGAAAAATTACAGTTGAGTGCACCAAAAGAGCCTCGATTAATTCTCTGCTCCATCTTAATGGAACAAACATTGGCTCATTTGCACCCTCAGCTCCACTAATGCTTAGATTCTAGCTGGCAAAATAGCCACTGTAACAGCAAAGTTGAAATTCTCCCTTCACTGCTGGTCTTTTGCTCTCCACACAGGGGTGCTGCGTGTAGTTTCCTATTCTATTAAAAAATTGAAGTGTTACTCCTACTGCACAGAGATGGTTAGAGGCAGAGCAATGGACAGCAGTGAACAGATTCAGTAAAGGAGAGCTGATGTGAGTCTTTCTGTTCCCTTTGCCCAGCTTCAGCTTGCACTAAACTGTAAGGAAATAATGCTCCTTTATGCCATGATAAATAATAGTAATTTTATTGTTTTTTTCTCTTTCTATTCCCAGCCTTGTGAATCCTCCCAATAAAACTGATGAGAGCTGTTAGTGATTGCATAGGTGGTTTGGAACACCACACTTCACAAAGCCCCAAGGCAGCATAAGCAAGAAAGACCCTCTCAAGACTAATTTTGACTCCATGATCAATCGTGTGCTGGAAAGCATATATCTGTGATGCTCTGTGGGGAAATACAGAAAATTTAGCCTCTTCCTCTCTGCAGCTTTTCTTTAGCCTTCCGTTTCCACACTGTCCTTATTTCTCCCACGTGAAAGCTTCCTGGGGTTCTCCAGAGGGAGGAAGGTTTGTGCCATTTGGGCACACATCCCCTCTCCACCTGAGCACAGGATTGGTCCCTGCTGCAGGCTGAGAGCTCTCCAGCCCTGAGCTGGTGAGCAGCTTGCAACCCTCTGCATTGCCATACTGGCCAGGTGGTCCTGACTGCTAATGAGCCTCATTTGATTTCTCCCTCTGCACCTGGCAAGCAGACAAAATCTATCAAAATTGGTGTTCTAACGTTCAAATAGTTTTTTCTGGCACCAGTACTCAGAAGAATCTTTTACTTCAACAATAGGAAAAAAAAAGCCCTTTTCTTATTAGATTTAAATCAACTGATTTAATACATTTTGAAGTAATTCTGCTGTGGGAAAAATATGGCAGATAGACAAATAAAGTGGTGGGTATTCTGAGAAATAGATAGATCTGCCTCTCCAAGACTGTATGTGTTTAAATTGCTCCAAAAGAAATGCCTCCTATTTCTTTTTATGGAAAATAAAACAGCTGCAAAGAGCACAATAAGACTACTTGATAGAGCAACATCTCACTTTCTTTTTTCTTCAAGACAATCACTGCCTCTAGCTATGTATTTTTGCTCATGATGAACATGAGTTTGCACGCACTTATCAAAATCTGCACCAGAAGAGGTGACCACTGTCACCACTGCTCAAACACACCACCCACCCTTCACTGTGGTCACATCCTCTGTTTGTCTCCATAAATGTTCAGCAAGCATTAAGGAATGTCAATGAGTGTCATTTTTTCCGCACTTCACAGACCTTTGCTTCAATACACACTGTTCTGTCAGACTGCCCCTCTGCTGCCATCTGCCACCTGGCAATAAAATGTAACGGAATACTGGTGGAAAGGTTCAACCTCTGCTGCCATACCACTAACATCTGCCTCTGATGTCATGGAGCAACGTAATAAAACAGAAGGCATTACTTTTGGAGCACCTCTCGCATTTTCTACTATATAATCTATTAAATTTTGAGTTCAGTCCTGAAATGCAGCTTGCCAAGCTTCAGCACATGGAAAATGAGATAAAAAGACAGGAGAAAGTGGATTGTAAAAGCTGCTTCTACTTCACTGCTCTCCATGCTACAGGTGTTGATTTTATGGGTGGGAGAGAGCTGATATGCAGGGGGCTGAGAGAAACATAAAACAAAGCAAAGGTTTGAGCTTCAAATAAATTGTACCAAACAGAGAAGGTTAAAGGACTGACAGTGTTGGTCATTCAAGAATGAGCTTTCTTCCCATGTGGTTCCAAGTCCCAGAAGATAAATGTGTAAAGGTTAGACAGACTGATAGGAAAGATCCTGTCCTGGAGTCAGTAGAAGCTATTAGCCTCACTGGGCTTTGGATGTTGTAATTTATTTTCTCCAGTTAAAGCCAATATCCTGTCCCCACTGATGTTCAGATATCAAGCAGCCTAAGCAGCAAAGGCTTTATGTGCTCGTGCTAGGGTATGCCAGAGAGCTGGCTTTATCATTTTTTGTTCAAGTCTCTGAGCAGAGTATAAGTACAGTTATAATAGGAGGAAAACAGAAGTTGCTCCACAATTGCTTCAATGAAAGCTTGCATTCAGGCATGGGCATTAGACACACTTGGGGATGTGTAAAAGCACGGCCCAGCTCTGGCCTTTATTGCTGGCTCAGGTGATCTTGTAGCTGGAAAGAAATGCACGTGGTATCTAAGGCATGTCCAAGCATCACTAGCATCAGCATTGCAAGTCAAGGAGACTTAAGAGCCACAAATTGGTAAAACACCAAAGAGGTATTTAAGAAACTCTGAGTAGAGAGGCTTTGCTTCCACAAACCTCTCACAATAGCAAACGGGCAGTGTGCCTGTGGTGAAAAACCTAGGAGAAACCAGGGACTTACCTGCTGCTTTGGTTTTCAGTAGAGCTGATGGCTTGCTCGGCTCCCCAGTTCCAACACTGTTGCTGGCAACCACACGGAACTCATACTCAACCCAAGGGCTTAAGTCAACCACTGTTGCTTTGTGAGTCCTACCATTGAGGACTTCAGGAACTAAAATAAACATGTCAATGAAACAATATTTTTGCAGTAATTAATGTTATGCGTACAAAATACAAGGCAACTCTCGAATCACTCACCTGTTGAAACTGCCTGCCATCCAACTGAGAAAGGAGTCCTTGTCTGAATGCTGTAGATCTGGACTGGACTATTGTTATCTATTCCAGATTTCCAGGATAACACAGCAGTAGTGCTAGAAATATGTTCAACTCTAACATCCTCTGGTGGGCCTGGGGGACCTAATGCAAAAAATATTTTAACATAAATGTATTTAAAATAGAAGACAACAACTGAGGATAATCAAGAGTGCAAGGTGGTGCCTTGTACAGACATCTGATTTCTACTAGTGGCTACAGGATTTGCTCCCATCAAAGAACTTCTTTTGCTGTTGACAGTAGAAGGATTAGCTAAAATTTCAATCTTATCACTTAATTGATCATAGAAACTGATCTTTCGTATTATCTCCAAAGAGTGGAAAGAGACCTGGTCTCTTGATTTTTGCCAGCCTATATCATGACCCAGAGATGCCCAGCAAGGAGCAGGTGACACCATTCTTTTGAAAGAGGAGCACTTCCCTATTCCCTGCTCTGCTGAACTGCATAGCAAGAAAGAATAACCTCCAAAAAAGGCCAAGGCACAATTGCACAGATCTCCCTCTGAGTTACCAAAATCTTGGACTGTCATCCTAGGACTTTTTAAGCAGCAGCTGATGCTAAGAAATACTAATTCCTCCAGAAGATAGGTGTCTACATTTAATAAACATACCTCTTACAATTATATCTACTGCTGTAGATTGACTGTCTAAAGTTGTTTGCACCATGCACACATATTTCCCAGTATGATGAAGTTGAATATTTCTTATCATCAAATCTCCAACAGATTCCTGGAGATACAAAGAAAGTAAACTAATCACTCACAACGTGCTTTTCATACTGGACATTTTTATAAATTGCTCAATATTAATAAAAAATCCAGCTTTTAAATTAAAATATTCATAGCTATCATTAGTTTTTCTCATGTGGACATTTTTATTATGGCTTCACAAATAACTCAAGTGCCTTTATGAAATCTAAGAAAGAAAAATAAATGGCTGCAATCCTTTTAAAGAAACAGAGATTCACCATGCATATAAATAGTGATGGAAGAGTTATGAAAAATGCTTGTGTGGCCTAATGACTGCGGCAAATAAATTCATTAAGCACTGAAGAGTTTTAAAAACTTACTCCTCCAATTCTCTCAAAATGATGCATTCCTCTTTTGAAGTCAATTTTGTTGCCATTGAACAACCACGTGAACACCACAGCCATGGAGGGGTCATGAGAAACCTGGCATGGAAGGACTATGCTTTCTCCAACTGTTACATCCATGTTAGAAGGTGGAATAGTAATTACAGTCCTTTCTGTGGAGACAAAACAGTTTCCTTTTTATTAAAATGCTTATAAAAATAGTAGATCTTGAATGAGCTTTGTACCATTGGCGAAATGATGTGAAATTGGCCCAGATGTTCCATAATAAAGAAGATTATATCTAATATGGTGATGACTTCAGAACACTCTCACCCATGTGTAGCCTATTACTTCTGCAGTATCCATACGAGCACTCTGTGTGCTCTGAGAGTGAGCAGATGTCAGAGGCAACACGCTAAATTAGTCATATGTTACTTTGTAAATCCCATAGTCGATAGATATGATTTCAGCTTAAAATGTGCAGAATTAATTATTGAGACTGTTAGAAATATACTCACAGTTCTTCAGGTTTGAAAATGCTTCCTTGCAGGAAACTGCAGCAAAAACAAAATTGGTGTCCATCTCTGCTTACTGTATATACAGGGAGATCTTTAATCTACATTCTTAGTAATAGTTTACTGTAGAGTTGCTTACACTACAGCCTCAAAAAAGCTATCTCAACAGACAGAAAAAATATCTATGTAATCTTTTTTAACCCCTTAGACTGAGAAATAAAGCTGCAGATCTTATTAAGGGAACTAGTAGTTTGCTGAAGGGGAAAGAAAGGGGTTTATATGGCTTCATTTTTGTTGTTATGACTGGCAGATAGATTAGAGATAACAACCACTTTGTTGTAGCAATTCCACTGAATAAAGCTTTTGTGCATGAAAATGTTATAAAATGGTGAGAATTGAGAGGCACATGAATAAAATGAGAGCAGAATCTATTCAACAATATTAATGTGTTCTGAAAATAACATGAGAGGAGGAGAAGAAACCTTGCAGGAGTCGTATTAGTTTAGTGTTCATGCTGGCTTAACTCTTTCTGTAATAAATGCTTCAAAAATTCAGAATTTTGGTTACCAAGGCTATGGTTCCAAGGGGCTGATGCATGATAGGGCATCCAATACTTCACCTTCAAGCACAATTTTGTTCAGATTGTTACCACCATTGTAGTAACCAAATAATATGTAGATGCAGGCAGGCAATATGGACTGGAGCTTGATGGGCTCCTTCCCAGCATCTGAGCTGGAGTGACTGTTACAGCAGTGGTCAAGAAACAGCAAGGTAGGGTGGTGCATGTTCTGCCAACCTTTTAAAACAAAAATCTCCAGTTTCAATGACATGTCTGCTCTAGATACCATATAACGTTATCAAAGGAAAACAGTTTGTTCTGATTTCTACTGCTATAGGCCAATTAGGTGATTTTGTTTTTCTGGAATCACTGAGAAGCTGACTGTCACAGGTTCCCATCATCTGGAGCCCAGATTTAGAACACTTTGTTAGATTTCCCTGTGTACTCTGATTGCTCTTCATGCAAAACCACCATCATGGCAGATCCATCCATTTGTCTGAAGTCAAGGACTGCAGAATAGTGAAGGCCTCAGATGACTGTCTTGAAGATACTTGATCGTTAAGTTAAAGCAATCTCTCCCTCTCCCTGGAAGCAGAGTGTCAGTTGCAATAAATTCCAGATGATTCAAGGGCCATACTCTCTGCTGGCACAACTCCACTGATTTCAGCACACATTGGCAAAGAACTTGGCTCCATAAATCTCAAGCAAAGTAATTCCATCGTGAAGTACAGTTAACTTTTACAGAATAATGTTGAAAAGTATCTAAGAACCACAGAAAACCTCCACAAACTTTTACTTTCTTGCTTTTATTCTCCAGCGCTTCTTATTCCCACAACTGAAATAGATTACCATGAATAACACTTTGAGGTATGAATTGAAGTAATGCTGTGTACATTAAAAGAAGAAGAAAGAAAGAAAGAATTGCTTGGTATAAGATAAAGACTGGAAAGCTGTTTTTGTGATAACTGGAACTGTCCTTTGCCACCTGCAGATGGAGAAGCATGATCTGGCCTAAGGTGGCTCCCAAGCCCATCATTTCATCCTCCAAGGCCATCTCTCCATCTTTAAGCCTAACTCTGTGCATCTTTACACTACGCTGTTGAAGGCAAATAAGCAAGGAAGTAAAGAAACGTTAATATCTGGATAAGACAGAATGGTTGTTATAGGCTTCAGGTTCCCAGGCTGCTCAGGGAGACTCCCAGGTCCCAGATGAGTTCTCTGCTGACTGGTATGAACTGCTGCTGGTGTTTTATCTGTCCTGCTTAAAGCTGACATGAGTATACCTGATCTGCATTGCATTGGTTGCAGCCTGGAGGTACCCCTGAATTGTTACCACAGCAAAGCTCCAAACCACAGCACCTACTCCAGGGATGAAATTCACTTTGTTTGCTTTGCTCCATTAAGCTTTAATCAAGCTTTGCACCACTACTGAATTTTCCATGTCAAATACTCCCTATCCTTCAAACTCCTCTTTAAAATACCTGCCCTTCACAAGCCCCATCTCACCTCTGTTGCCAGAAGAGTTAACACTACCTCAATTTGTAACTCCTACTTCTCTGCATTGGATGGCTGGTCACCAAGATTGGTGCATTTTAACTCTTCTGCTATGCACTGTGTACAATTACAGCAGTCTATAAATAAGTAAAACACTACAAATGAAATCAATTTTATTTCTATAGAAAAGTTGGAGCAAAACTAAGCAAGAATGATAGCAACAGGATTGCATAGAATTTATAATCAGATTCAACAGTTATGTTCTGAAATCCACAGAATACAAATAGAAAATGGTGCTCCGTGCAGTAAAATGTTTAAGACTCCTCGAGAGCCAACTGACTATAATATAGGAAGGGGCCATCAGTTTGCTGGGTGGGAACTTTTTGAAATTTTTTTTAATCAGAAAGTTCCAAAATTATTCTGATTGCCTCATAAGGTCAGTAACATTATTTCTTGTGCCATTTGATTTTACTTCCAAGAGATCTGAAATGAGATAAATGCAATCCTGTTATGAAACAGTATTAAATGAATTGAAAATCCCAGAGATCATGTTAAGACCTATTGAATTCCTCCTTTTTAAGAGCTTTTTAGGAGTGCTAGCAAAAAAAAACAAACCTATTTTGTTATGAGATTACCATCCTGATGTGTCTTCTGTTCTAGCCTGCTCATAACCAGTAGCTTTGCTGATGCAGAGTTGTTCACTTGTGTGTTGTTTTCTGCTTCCTTTATGGATCTGTCTTTAAGACAACCACCTCAAATACTTTGAAAAGCTTCTTACAGGCTCATGGCTCTACATTATCCATCTATCTTATTTAGCAACTTCAGATGAGTATTAAATGGCAAGACCCATTCCAAAGGAGAAAACAGCCAAGATGGTGTGAGTGCTTGAGGTATAATAAAGATTTCTCACACAAAGAATAAACAACTCAATGAGCAGCAATAAACTTAATTTGCACATTAGATATGCTTTTCCAAGTTCTGACATTTCAGTTGAAAATAATGCTGAAGCAACGAGGCCTATAATTGAACAACCAAAACTTCTCCAGAGGGGAAACAAAAACAAATGTTCCCTGCAAACAAGATCAGTTTTATAACATGTTGTTACTCAGTGTTTTAATAAATTTCCTAAATGCCAAACAAAATACTTTTTTTCTTTTTTTTCTTTAATGGGATTTTTTTATATTGCTCCATTAGGATGTATACATGGGGTAGCTGTAATGGTGTCTAACTTCAATGAAATCAGAGCCACCTAAACCCTAAAGTTCTTGGTGTATTCAGTGCTAGTGCTGTAACATCAGCTCAGATGACACATTGCACTGCATCAATGCTAATTGCTCTTTCATAGTATGAAAACAGTTTTAGACAACTGCAGTAGGTTAGGAAGAAGGACGTTCCTGCAGGCTAGAGTAAATATTCTGAATTCATTGAAAATGAAAATATTAAGAAAAAAGGCAGCTACAAACTGCACGTAATAATGTGCTCTCCTTGTAACTGCAATCATTGTTAATGTTAACTCTTTTGCAAAACTGAAATATGTTTACTATAATCTCACAAGTTCCACACTTTAACTTTTCTTTCCCATTTAAAATCAACAAATACGAATACTTGCATAAGAAAACATTGGTACTGAAAAGATCATGCAGGAAAAAAGAGAAAGAAAAGACACCATTTGCCTTAGTTTTCCTCTTTTCTTCCCCTCATTGATCAGACATCAGAGGATACAGAGCACAGTCATTACACATGCTGCTCACAGGAACAGCTACACAAACAATATCTCTTTTTATGTCCTTCAGCTCTGGACTGGCCCACCTGAGAGATAAGTTGGTACTAGCACTTTTTACTAATGGAGATGGACCATCCATCAGTGCTGCAAAAACTTGAAGCAAAAGGCTGCTTGGATGTAATAGACTTTAATGTCTTCCACAATGCATTTATCTGTGTTTCAAAGGAGGGTGGAAACTGCTGCAGGGAGGTAACCTGTGTGGAGCAGCACTGCCTTGGGAGCACAGCCAGGGTGTGAAGTCACACCAGCAGCCCCAGCCTCTTATAATTGCCCATACTGAGAACCTCAAAGAGATGCTCTCTTTGTAAGGGTGCCAAAGTAGCACCCAGCAGGTGAGTGGGTGGCTTCGGGATCTGCATGGATGCAACAAATGCAACAACGTATCTGTGTCATGATGAAGGAAATAAAAGCACCTAATATTCAGATTAATTCCTAATGCCTTATTTCATTTTACACCCATTTTATAGTTTCTTCTGCAGCCTCAGATGTGACAGAAATTAAATGAGAGCAGAATAAATGCATGCAGCGGGGACATCATATTGGTCCTGTGTTGTGCTAACCTCAGGCTGCCCAATGCCTGCAACTTCTAAATGGTACTGCAGTGCAATTATCAATACTAATGTGCATTTCAGATGGTATCTTGAGAGACCTCTCTGATCATCAGTCTGCTGTGGTCATGAGGTTTCTTTGCTACAGGTGACGTCGCTCATTTTCAGCTGTAAACTGCAAGGAAAAACTTCCCGATAGCAACAGTGATTGGCATAGTCTTGAGCATCCCAGCAAAAACAAAACAAAACAAAACCCCACGCTTTCTATTATTCATAAAGCACAAAGGAATATACTAAAGTACCTTTCACAATCAGGTTCCCTGAATTTCTGGCAACTCCAAACTGATTTGTTGCTATACAAGTGTACACCCCAGCATCTGATTTGGTGATGTTGTAGAGCCTGAGACTGCCATCCTCCAGTAAGAGGGCCCTGGGAAAACAAACAAACAAACAAGCAATAAAAGAATAATAATAATAAAAAAAAGGCTTCTGTTACAGGAACTGCAATAAAAATGCAATGCTTCTTTTAATATTTAAATGCTTCCATTATGTTTCTTTTCTCTTTTACAGCAAGCTGGATATGCAACTAATTTTCACCTCTGCTCGTTATTGATTTCTATATTGAGGATGTTATATTGACATACTGGAATTGACCATTAACTTATCTAGATCGCTTGTAGTAAAATTAGGAGTCTCAAGAGAAAGAAGGAAGACCCAACTTTTTATCTAATTGTTCTGTATTTTACCATGGGGGGCTTTTTTTCCAGATCCCAATGCTGAGATGCTATACTAATGTTATGTCTGAGGCCAGATGCCTGTGCAATTTTGTCAGGATTATTAAAAGACATTAGCAGAGTAGCTGAGATGCTGAAATGCCATCTCACAAGCCAAGGAGCCAAATCAAATACACTGTTCTCTCCGAGGGCCCTCAAATCACCTTGTTAGTCACTACATTGTTCACATAAGTTTGCAGAGGATTGGGTAAATTGCATTTAATAGTAATTTCAGAACCACTCCTGAGTTTTGAGGACAAAATTAATTTTTAAGCTCGTTTACATGCCTCTTCATGTCAATGAGATGCCTTTCGGATGCACGCCAATGCAGTGCTCAGCATGAATTTTCTGTAGGTAGTTTTCTGTAGGTAAGCTCTCACATTAGGCCTGGGACCTCTTCCTGTCACACATGGGGACAACAATTCACAGCTCAGGGATTTCTTTTGTGAATATACAGAGATGGAATTGTTAGGCAATGAGCTTTAGGTCAGGATGACATTATTCCATAAGATTTTCTTAATTCGATGTCAGTTCTTCCATCCAGCTATTGCTCCTGGTAGATGTTGAAGCTGTTGATAATTTTTTGAGTTCACAAGGACAGTGGGCTGAAAGATCCTTGAATCTCATGAAAAGGGGGTCGGGGTTTCAGTGCACAGCCTTTCCTGCTAGTAAGGCTCCTGTGTGTGCACTCTCCTTAGTAGGCATCAGAGAATCTGCACTGCACAGGGATGAGCTGCACTCAGACATCACACTTTGCTGGATCTGACAGAATCCAGACGTAAGTCATAAATCCCCAGGAAAAGATGTTTCATTCATTCCAGTGCTCACAGAAGCACTGCATTATTCTTTTATATTCCCCTTTTAATTGACATTTAAATCTAACACAAGAATTCTTTTATAAAAAGAAAATATCTAATTCATGCATCACAACTTGGGTATTTAATATTTATTACTGACAACATAAGATTGGATGATGCAATGAATTATTAAAAGAAACGAACAATAACAAGAGCAGTAGTTGAAGCTGGCAGTACTATCATAGCTGTTAAATCACAAAAACCATCACAGCACCTTTCTGTATTCCTCTCTTGTATTTACATGCTTGTAGCTATATGCATTACACACATCAGGCCTTGTTCTTCTTCCCATTACCTGTTTTCAGCCTCAGCTGAAGTAGTGCCAGATGTGGGTTTCAGAACCTGTCCTGGAGCAATGGGGCCAACCCATCCTGCATTGTGCCAGGGATGCAGAACGGGGGCTGAACAGAGGTGATGTAGTGCCCATCTGATGAGGGGCGATGGGGAGAGGAGCTGAGAGGAAAAAGGATTCAGGTTGGAATGAAAAATCTTTGTTACCTTGGCAATAATCACCAGTACTGCAGTGGTTGCTCACCTGCAATTTGGAATATGATGAGAAAATAAGTTGGGGTTTAATAATCTATCATATATCCATATTAAATTGGAGAAGAGCAATGAAGTGCACTCTTCAATATAACAATGACTCAACCAAATAACATTTTCAGATATGGATGAATAAGCAAGAAAGAATTCAACCTTTCCACTGGCATCACTATGCTGTGCATCAAACCAGGGGCTAGGAGTGCATCTCCTTGGTGCACTGGTTGGTTGATGTATGGTGGCTTTATCATATAGCACCAACAGGTACTCAGAGGTGATCAGCAAATGTTCACAGATTGGATACCTGGTGTATAAGCTATAATGAGCCAGTGTAGTGTCTGTCTTACCTCCAAATGCTGATGTGCTGTTATTTTAACTGCAGCTGTATGTAAAAGCATTAGGCACAAATCTAAAAGCGGGAATGAGGAAAAGAAGACAATGCTAGTCCCCAAAATCGTCTACTGTAAATATCTGGGAAAAACTGTCTGTAGAAATGCAGAATAATAAAGGCAGAAACTTTGAAAGCACAGGCTCTGTGCTGAGTCCTCTACGGATTACTGGTTATGGCTTTTCCACCGAAGTTTAGCGATGTCTGGCTCAGATTTCTTTTTGTGTATTCTTTGTTAGGAGCTGTGATCTGAATAATTCACAGCTTTGTGGTTTACCCACTACCAGGGGTTGGTACTCAAGTGCTGACAAGGCAGTGTTTGATCTGTAGAATTGTTGTTCTGAAACAATACTTCCACAACCAGGCGAGTTGAGGTAGAATGGTTCTTTCAATGGATCAAAACAGAGCTTGGCAGAGATGAGCCAGGAGCTAATAAAAGCTTCAGAGCAGTGTGAAACCTGGCAGAGGTCACGTTACCTGAAGACAATTAGAGAGATAGTAGTACATATGATGCTTGGGCAGAATTTATGTAAAGGCAGAATGGAATCTGGAGTAATTGGCTGGCAGAGAAGGGAATTAAAGCAAAACAAAGAAAAAAGTGATTTACAGATGTACCGAGCTCTGTGTCAAGAGAGGGATGAGAAAGCGAAGCACAGCAGAAAATCAACGTGATGCATTTTGAATACAAGGGAAAAAGCTCTGTGAAACACTGACCCCATTGCCATGTATTGCAAAGTTGCCATAAACTTCCTCCAAGCCATGACTTTATGCTGTGGGTGGGTTCAGAGGGGCTTCACTTTGTCCTCTTCCATTTGTCTTTCAAATTACAGCACTGCGCTTCTGACCGCGATGGGAATGTTTCCTTTAATGGGCTTCGGATCAGGCTCTAACAAACAATTTAAGAAGAAGCTGTGAAATGCATGTCTCACCTGCTGAAAGACTTGCTGAAAACTGCTACTTTTCACAACATTTTGCACTGTGTGAAGGCTATGGATAATAATTCTTATCACTTGCATCGGGAGACAAGGTAATTTCACGTAATGAGATGAGATAGAAAAGTTTAACTTGTTGGATATAATGCCAGTGGAATATTTTCTCTGCCAGGAAAATGGGACTTTACTCAGTAAGCAAATAAGGGTTTGCCAAAGGACAAAAGTTGAAAGGTCTAGTGTGAATCTGGTGAATGTGTCCTTGCTATGGAGGAGGAAATGCAATGAACTGCTTGAGACACAGCTGCTCATGATGTCCTGCTGCAGCAAGGGACTGCTTGGGCAGAAGCCTGAGACTAAACAGGCATCTCTGACTTACAAAGTACTTAACAGAGTGCTCTAATGCTGGTATTTCTGCCTGAATTATGCAGAATCTATCTCTGGTAAATAGCTCAATCAAGCAAAGATGCTATGAGGAAAAGACAAATAGAAAATTCAGTGATACAAACTCATAGAAAGTTCCAGCACACAAGGGCTGGAAATACTCAGAAATATCATCCCCCATGTAACAAGCCTGGGAACGTGCCGACAGATGTGGATATGGTGGATGAAGTTTGCTTCCAGTGGATCATAAGAACATAAGACAGCCATAAAGCCGAGTTCCAGGACACAGCTCTCCAATTCTGCAGCCATTCCCATGGCAGAGGTGAGGACACGGCCTCACAGTGCTGTCCCAGCACCAGGTGGGCTGCAATGCAGGTTTGGTTCCAGCAGACGTGCCTTTCCGAGCAGGATGAAAACCACCTTCAAGAGGGGATCCACAGCTCCTTACATCTCTGTCAACCTTCAATCAAGCACCAGTTTGGGAGAAGTTTCTCCCCATTTTATTAAGCACAGTGACGTCTTTTTGTTTGTTTTTAATCTACTAATTTCATGGGATTGATCCGTGTCCTTGTCCTCCTTGAGTGACTCCATTAACATGCAAGATAAGTGCAGAAGTGAGAAGGGAAAACAAACAGGAGACTCAAGAGTCAAAACTCTGTCATGTTCAAAAAGAAGAGACTGCAATGCTTCTGCAGAAGACACGAGGCTGTCTCATTAAAATTGTCACACATACCTTTTAGGTAAAGAACTTGAGAAATCGGGCAGGGACGATAGATACAGCTTTTAATTAACCAGGCCAAACAAACCATCTCTGAAAGCGTTGTCTCATGTGAACAAAAGATTGTTGATGGCTATTTGCTTTGATCTTAAGGGCATGAAAGAATAACATGTATTTAACAAGGCTGATAGAAAAATAAAATCTGAGAAAAGAAAGAGGTGTCAACTCATTAGATTTTAAAGAGCAGCAGAAGTAATTTTGCACAGAGCTGCATTGTTCAGCCAATCCACGTTAGAGAGGTACGATTCTAATTCATGGATGTGAATTTCATTAATTCAATACAGCAAATGTCTTTGAAATCCCCATCAAAATCAGTTAAGCTGCATTGGTGTAATAGCAGGGGTGATTCAAGCCTATGCCTGCAGATTTCAGCACTGCCAGTATTATAGTTATCTCTTCAAGGGCATAAAATAATTCCTCTCCAAATAAAGTAACCCTGATACTTGATGTACAGATTCACCCTTCTTTTCTCCTGTCTGCCTCTAACATCAAGTGTCTGACACCTCGTAATGTTATTGAAGCCATCATTGTGGCACTGTGCAGATAAAAAGGAACACGCTGGATCTGATGAAATCAGAGGCAAAGTAATTTTTATTATCTGAGAGATCCTATTTGTAACTATATCTTCTCAGTCTCACTTTGGCGCTCGAGAGCAAAACCACTCTTGATTTCATAGGCTCTGAAAAGCCACGTTGTTTATACATTTCTAGCGGGTATGCCAGCAGTCACCGAGACAATAACTGACGCTTCCAATTTTGCAAAGATTGGAGGCTGAATTAAA